TGATTATTGAAGACTAGGTATGGCAGCACGAAATGTCACAATCTGCTTAATTGTCAGGTAGTTAATATGGCGCCCGAAAAGTGACAATGAAACTACCTTCTTTTTTGTATCATACAGTTCAATAATATAAAATTGTCATACAATTAATAAGCTTAATAAGAAGAATAAGTTCATCGTAACAGATGACTAACCTTCTCATTTATCTTTTTGTATACCAACCATGAAGCCGCACCCCCCCCTCGCTTTCTGACGTGACTCTAGTTATACGATAATTAAATTAAAACAACGCAGAGCTAACGCACTACCAATATTTTTCGTTTTTCTTTTCTTCCAGCTCTTTTTTAGAATCTCTTTTATTTACTTGTTCTTTTCATTACTCATTCATATATATTTAATACATTTTGTATAATTTCTATTTAATTTGTAGACTTTTACCTTTGTTTTAGTTTGGTGTTTTTTGATTTGCTTTGCTTTGTTTTTGATTTGTACTGATTTTTATTTTGTTTTGTTGTTTTTGTTGCAATTTTTGATTTTTTTTTGTAGCTGTTGACATTCATGGTTCATCGGTTTTATTGATTTGTTTCAAAGCATTTGCTTTAATTGATTACAAGTTGTTAAGCATTTGTAATTTTTTTTGTATTGTTGATGTTCGAGGTATTTGAAATTGAAATTGTTGTTTTGCATTTAATGTTTTTTATTTATTTATTTATTTTTTTTGTAAATTTTTGTATGTTGGAGTTCAGTATTGTGGTGACATGAAGTGTTTTGTATCTTAATTGCTAAAGAGTAGGAAACCTTTGTATCAATAACGGCATATCCTTGCGATGTACATATATGTATGTATTAACTTGTGTGTAATTACATACTTGATTTACATATATGTATGTATTCCCTTTATGTGTATTCGCATATACATGCATATTTCATATGTATAATAATAAATAATGATAAACAATTGAACATTCGATATTTTCATATAACAACATTAACAATTGAACGGAAAAACTTTTTCATAACGCAATTTTTTTAATAATAAT